TAAAATTCTACCCACAGGATTTCGGCCTAGCTTTGCTTTGAGATGAATGCATAAATAATCCTTACTTGCTTGTTACCTGATAGGACAAGCAATGCAAATAAAATAAGACTAAATAGAACTTATGCCTTTTCCTTTTTTTTAATATCCTTTTTGTATTTCGATGTATTTTAAATTATTTGTTAATAACAACTAACCACTTGTACGGAAGAGTCAGGGCATTGATTGTGGCTTAAGAGAACTAGAGAAAACGTCTCAAATCTTGGGTTCTTAGTTTGTTTCTGCTACTTTCTAGTTGCTCTTCAGCCTTAGGCATTTCTCTTAAACTCCCTGAGCCTTATTTTCTTCAGTTGTGTAAAAAAGAGGAGCTCAGATTCTCTAGTTTCTTCACAGATGAGAGAAAGAAAATGAAAAGGATTTGCAAACTATAAATCTCTAAGCAGATGGGAGGAAAGGAATTGATGAAACAATAAATGAGACAATAGAAACCATAAAGAACCCAGGGTAGGTTTGGACATTCATTAATTTATTCCTGTATTATTTATTGAGTAGCTTGTATGTGGTAAGTACCTTGCTCAGGGCTAGAGATTAGTGATGAACGAGACAGATGATATACCCATACTTCACCACATCTTGCTGCCATACAGGAGAGACACAAATTACACAAGTGAGCAAACAGTTAATATTCCTAAAAAAAAAAAAAAAAGTGCTATAGAGGAAAGGAGCAGGACACCAAGAGAGAAAGAAACAAGGAGAACCGACTCAGTAAATTTTTCTGGCTGAGGAAACTAAGCCTGGAGGGTGGGATGGAGTTAGACCAGCAAATAAAGGGGTATGCAGGAATGTCCAAAGCAAAAATCAACTCAAGGTTGACAAATATGGCCAGAGCCTTGGGAGGAAGAGAGAGAAAATAGGCACCTATGACAGAAGACACGTAAGCTATGAAAAGGGTTTGACTTTCATTCTAAGTGCAAGGAAAGCCAGTGAAGGCTTTTAAGCAGGAGAGTGATGGGATTTGGAATTGTGCTTTAGAAGAATTCATTTTTACTCTTGGATTGTGAGGGTCAAGAATGGAAAGAGGAAGCTATTGCCGAGGACCAGGAGAGTGATGATGTTGGCTTAGATTAAGGCACAGGCTTTTCTGTCTAGCTTTACATGGAGCAGAATGCTTACATGAGCCTTCTTGCTTATTTCCTGATAAGCAGTACAAGTACACTGAGTCTAAACAGAACGTATGCCTTTTCCCATTTTTACTTGAAAATTATTTTCTTACATTTCAATGTATTTTAAATTCTTTGTTAATAACGATTAGCCACTTGTAAGAAAGAGTCAAAGTACTGAGGCATAAGAGAACTAGAAAGAAGTCTCTTATAAACAGTAGAAATAGCAAGAATCAGACAGGTTCAAGATATATGTTGAAGGTGGAATTAACAGGATTTGTTGATAGAATAATTATAATTGGGAAGGAGAAAAAGGAAATTCTAAGGTTTCTGGCTTGAGCAACTACAAGGGTAGTTCTGCTATTTACAGAAATGGGGAAGCTGGAACATGTTTCTAAGGGAAATAAAAATATACCACTGTGGCATGTTAAATTTTGACATCCACATGAAGCTATCAACAAGGCAGTTGGCTAGACAATCAAAGAATAAGCTAAAGAAATGAGAGTCATGACAGTACAGATTCATTCTTCCAAATGCCCACTGACATAGATTGGGTGAAAAGCAATCAGCCCATGTCATTGCTAGGCTACCATGCTTAGACATGCCACACATGATTGGCTGAGTGAGTGGTTTTCTTTTCAAGCCAGGTTCAAGCCTTTTTCATCTCTTTTCAAATGTCCCTATCCAAGTTGCTACCTCTATCCATATACTATTGACCTGAGGGTAGGGCGTAGGTTTTAGATAAGTGTAGTGTTGCTCTGTTTGTGGAAAAGGAAAATGGTGGAACTTCTCCATCTGTTTTTGTTGTTGTTCTTGTTTCTGAACCCAAGGGCACTAGGCTAAGAAGTAATAAAAATGGTGGCTCGTTATAAAGGCCAGGGTAAGCTCTATTGGACACTGAGTGTACAGGCAGAGGCATGCTATACAAATTTCAAACATGCTTTAGCCATTTGCTGAGTCTACACATTGGGGTAAAAAATAATTATAGCCTTCTGTCCTTCTCTATGTATAGGTGCCACTTGGTGATGGTCTGCATTTCTTTTGCTAATCTTATTTTATGACTGAGTTGAAGAAAATTGATTTGAATTGGAACACTTGATTGTTTCTCATATTCATTTTTTTTCTGATCCAGTTAACACTGGTGCTTTTCTTTATATGATACCACTGAGGACTTAAATGACAAAGCTTTGTCCTTGAAAAAACTCCTATATGAGTCACTCTTGGTCTGGATCTAAGATCAAGCCCTTATAAGCTTGGTGACCTTGAGGTTGTTATATAGTATGCCTGGGCCTTAGTTTTCCCATTTGTGAAATGGTGCTAAGTACCTTGCAGCAAAGAAATGAAATATACATGGTCTTAGCATGATGCTTGTCACAGTGTTGGGAATTTAGTTATTATCATTAGATGGAACCTAAGACAGTGATTAGTTTTGGGGATGCATATTTCAGGATATTAGAAACTCTGGTAAGGAGCACAAAATCATCAGGTTAACAGCCATCAGTGAAGAATGTGAAGTAGGTTGGTTGCCGTGGTAGTGGGAATGAGGCTGACTTGGGAGGGCATAGTGAAGGAGGTTGTGATAATCAGAAAAAGTCTAATCTGTATAGTTTTTGAGAACTTTCTCCAGTGAACTAAAAAGCATTGTCTACCCTCAAGAAGGCAGTAGGCATCTTGAAGCCAGTATTGTTTCCTAGGATCCTACAAATTGGATTGGTGTGCACATTTACCATGTTACCCTGGTAACCACAGGGAGGAGAAAGAAGGGCCATAACACTAGTAAGCTATGGAAAGAAGTGACGGACAAGCAAAGATTTCCTTATGATCTGTAGCATATTGAAGTTAGAAATGGTCATAACCTCCTATAAAAGACAATTTGGACATTTTAAATTTTATTTTTTTAATTGACAAATAATTGTGTATATTTATGGGCTACAATGCAATATTTCAACACATGAATACATTGTAGAATTATCAAATAAGGGTAATTAGCATATTACCATCACCTCAAGTATTTATCATTTCTTTGTGGTGAGAATATTTAAAATATTTCTGTTAGCTATTTCAGAATATGCATTATTATTAATTTCAATCCACCTTGCTGTGCAACAGAACCCCAGAACTTATTCCTCCTGTCTAACTGCAACTTTGTACTGATGGAACAGCATTTCCCCACTCCCTGTTCACTATTTAAACTTTTTACCACCGCTTCATTTGTTTCATAATTTTCCCTCCTTAATGCCTTTTATTCACATGAAATCCTTAATTATCTTACATTTAATGAGCACCTATTCTATACCTAAATCTACACCTCACTACAGCTTTGTTAGTAGGCAGGGCAGGTTGGGGAAATTGAGTCTCAGGGAAGTGACATGATTTGCTCATCAGTGTCCTGTCTGTTCAGTACTATCATTTTGTTTTTACTCTCAGTGCTATTTCTAATGCCTTTGGGACTGTAAGGAATGGAATGTAGTACATGTACTCTTGTGATTCAAAGTTATTTGAGTTTTTGGCTACTTATGAACAACTTGAAGCTCCATGACTTGTAGTGCGTGTGTGTGTGTGTGTGTGTGTGTGTGTGTGTGTGTATTTTAATTTTGCTGTAGCGCAAATCTGAATTGCTGCAAGGCTGCTATGTGGGAGTGTGTGTATGGCACATCTGTTGTTTTTCCCTGCCTGGCACCTATTCTCCATTCTTCAGTAAGAGCTCCTTAGGTTTGCTTTGGGGAACTGTTTCTCACCCATTGGATGCTACCTTAGTAGTGCGAGTGTCGGTTAAGGGACCTGGCCCTCCCCTGAGAAGAGTCTGGCCATATGACCCAAGTTCAGTCCATCAGACTCTCTCTACAAAGAATCAGAAACTTGAAAATAGAGATACATGGACTGAAAAATGACTGGGGAAGATCTAGCCCTGACATGGTACCGTGAAATGTTGTCTATTCATTTCCATTACATAGAGCACAGGCTGCCAAGCCTTTTCTGTAAAAGGCCAAATAGTAAATATTTTAGGCTTTGTGGCCATACGGTCCCTGCCTCAATTATCTGACTCTGCTATTGTAAAGGGAGAGCAGCCATAGGCAATATGCAAACAAGTGAGTAAGCCTATGCTCCATGGAAATGTTCTTTATAAAAACAGATGGCAGGCTAGATTTGTCCTTGGGCCATAGTTTGAAACCTAGAGCCTCAGGGCTGTATCAATTCCTGCCCTTTCCTGAATCTAATTTTTCAACTCTTCTTTTTTATTCTGTGTGCTCCCCATTTTTTTAAGCAAACCTTCTTCTACTATTCAATATTGTCAGAATTAACTTCTGCTGCTTGCCACCAAAGAACTCTAACTGATGTAGAGTGAGCCTCTTGGCTAATGAGTGAACCTAGCTGAGTGCCTAACATCCATATACCAGTGAAGCCTTATCTTTTTGCTTCCCACTAGCACATGGGATAACAATTGGGAAGCAGTTGATAAAACAGTATCTTAGAAAAAATAAATAGGCTTAGTGATATAAGTAAAGAGGACATGAAGAGTCTACAGAAAAGAAGATGGTGCTCAGACAGATGTTTAGGATAAATTGAAAAATAGAAAGTTGAATTTGGCAGTAGCTCAATTCTATGATTTGAATTAGTCCTTTAAAAGGAAATAAAAAACGGTGAGCTTATAACACTGTTTTAATTAGTTTTCCAAAGAGATTTTTAAATGATCAAGAGAGAGATGTAAAATGTTTTCTTTAAACAAGCTTTAAAAATGTAAAATGAGGTTTATTTGTGGTCTAGTTTAATCCTAGGAAACTTGAGCTTTTTGTATTGGAAGATTTGAAGTCTGTGCCGACCATTTCCTGTTGTGAACCTGGGGTTATGTGAGGGTCTCATAGTCTATTTCTCTACAGTGAAAATATTTTACTTCTGTCAATGATGCCCATTCATTCTGTCCCCTACTGTTCTAACAGAAAGTAAATACTGTTGAGCATCCTATTTAGACCAAGAAAATAAAATCATCAAGTCTTTTCATAGCCTGACACTGGAGGATGTACAAAATGAGCACTGTCCCTGACCTTATGTAACTGTCCACCTAGCTGAGATGAAAACATTACCCAACCAATCTTGAGTAGTCCAAAGTGGTCAGTTCAATTCCGCAAAGAATGAATGGATCACTCAGGGGTTCTGTGACAATGCTAAACAGAAACACAATAAAATACTATATCTTAAGCAGCATTAGAATCCTTGCATTCCAGAGATAAAGGGTTCTTTAGAGCCCAATTTCTTCATTTCACACAGGAAACGAGAAAGCTAAGTAGCTGTCTAATTGCCAATCCCTGATTAATAGTGTCCATGTGGCCAGAGCCTGGTGTTCCT